TCTCTCTCTCTCTCTCTCTCTCTCTCTCTCTCTCTATATATATATATATATATATATATATATAGGGAAATGTTAGGCCCTGGCAGGTATGCACTCAAATAGATGCATCAGTGAGGATCTATCGTCCATTTATACGGATGGTGAAGACACTTCCCATAAGTCCCAGCCCCGGTTCCTCTCTCAGTGGGGCTTTTTCCTTCTCTCTCTCTCTCCCCACAATTAACCAACCACTAGAAATTCTCTTCTCTATTCACTCTCCTCCCTCTTTCTAACTCTAAGAGAAGCCAGTATCAGACCTCTGCTTCCTATTTTAGAGAATCAGATATCTGGTATATATTCGATGAATGAAAGACTTCCTGGCCAAAATCAGTTGGAGCATCAATGTCTGATTCGTCTCGGAAGTTATGGGGATCAGGTGAGAAGAAGAGAAAGCTTAGGTTTCCAAGATCCAAATAGGTGCAGTTCCACAGTTTGGAGGTTTCCAATGACTTTTCAGGTTGATTTCTAGCTGGGAAAGTAAAAGAACTTCAACTCAATGGGGAGAGCAAACCCTACATTTACCTCCAATTCAGGCCTGAATCCAATGATTTCATGGTCAAGAATTTGCACAAGTTCTTGAACAAGAGTCTGGTGGTTTGCAGGCAATATGACAGTTTTCAGATAAAAAATGGTGGTTTTCATGTGAATTGTGAAGAATGAAAAAGAGAGTGTATCTGAATGGTGGTTTTTCTGAGATCTGGGATCAATTTGAAGGTGAAGAGTGAGTTTTCTCAGAAAAAATGCAGCTTTAAGCAGATGGGGTATTAATTTTCTGGAAAAAGGTGGATTTTTGGCGAGAAATGGATTCCATTACCTCACAATTGATGAGTGTGGAGTAAGTCAGAGAGTACGGGAGGGGGGGGATCGAGTGTCCTGGTTGGTTGTTTGGAGGTGAACTTAGTAACAGGGATGTGCTTTTGTTATGAGAAAATCCACTGTTTAACGAAGAAAATGGAATGTCAGGGAAAGAAATATGAGGTCACATGTCAACCCTATAGACACGGCCTGACACATTGGCCATACGTGTCGGGCCATTTTATTGGTTTTCAGTACGTGTCGACACCTTATATAGAAGTCTCATCATTATTTTGTATATTAACAGGTTCATGGCCACACACGAATGTAGTTCTTCTTCACACAAGCGGTCTTGAGATTGAATCCATATGAGGGGGTTTATTTTTTATGAGACTAAACCCTTGTTGAACTTTGCAAGATTGCACTTTCAAAATTTAATGCCATGGGCAGGTTTGAATACTAGACACGTTAAATTGGAAGACTACACGCTACCACCATCCGTGGTGCTTATGTGTAGATAGTCAACAACATTTTATCTACTAGACGATAGTTATTTAATCGATCAGCTATTAGAGCATAAAGTCAAACAATTTAAATATTATGACTCAAAATAACTCTCTTACAAAATACTAAAATGTGACATTTATGTCTATATTTATTATAATATCATATTAAGATTGTTCCACAAAGAGTCCCAAAAATTTAAATGGGATTTATATTCTAAAATACAAATTGCAATTTGTGGATTCAAGCTTGCCATTGTCATTTCAATTTCTAAATGATTCTACTGACACAACCGTGAAATATGTATGACATGCCTTGTGCAAAATATTATTTTTGCATAAATAAAATATTTTTTTTCTTGCATAAAATATAGGGAAAATTTCATTTAGAACCCTAATTCCTCATATTATTTCATAGTAGACCCTCCTTCCGTTTTTCTTTCAAGCGGCATAAGTAAACCTCTAAAGATTTCACCGCACCCCCTCATCTATTATCTCCCTCTTTATTTGATTTTTGACCCTAAAAATTACCCCCAACAAATCTTTTTATACCATTTCAACCCAAAGACTTTTTTAACCTTCTTTTTCCCTGTCCACCCATTAAAAAAGGTTTTGGGTTGAAATGATATAAAATATTTTTTGGGGTTAATTTTTATGATCAAAAGTAAATAAAAGAGGGAGATAAGAGATGAGGGGGTATGGTGAAATCTTTAGGGATTTCCTTATGCCACTTGAAAAAAAAAAAAAAGGGGGGGGGCCTATCATGAAATAATATGAGGAATTAGGACTCTCTATGAAATTTTCCCTTAAATATATATGAATTTCTAAAATTTTATAGTTTATTTTTATGCTAGTAAACATATTTTTAAATTCTTTCATTATTTATGTATATATCATTAAATTCTCTTATTATTTATGTATATATCATATATCAATGGTTGTACGGACATGTTGAGGTCGTACAGGGTTTTTGGGCTGAAGTACTAGACACTTGAGATATGTACTAGACACGACACGCATGTCGATGTCTGTTTAACACTGACGACAATCAGATAGGATAACGACAAGAAGGGAATAGGCAAAAACACAGGTTGCTAGTATCCCCAACCTTATTTCTGAAAAGGTGTTGAAATCTACAATGTCCATCTAAATGGATGTCGTAAATTGCAGGGGTTTACCTATTATATTAGAGTGCAGCTCTAGGTGTACTAAAACCCCCACCCATATATGTGCATGTCTTTGTGTTTGTACATGTGTGTGCACGCGTGCCTGCATGTGTGTCTATAGTTAATAACTCTCAAAAGCTATAGGCTAAATTTTGAATGGGGTGTGAATTGTTAAATTACTACCTCTCAAAAGCTATAGGCTAAATTTTGAATGGGGAGTGAATTGTTAAATTACTTTAGTATCCCTTCCTTTATTACATGCTTGTAAGACGAGTATGGGTATTGTTGTCATTCAAAAAGATATAACTGATATTTAGATTAAAAAAAGATGAAGGGTTCTTCTATCATTTTAAGGACTTCTTGAATTTTTCACTAAAAACAAACATTTATATCAATAAAGTACCTAGAGTTTCACTTCATAACTACCCTTGTCTTCAGTAACTATGGCTGTTTTTTTTAGCGCAATTCAGTGGGGATGACAATCCCCTACCTGTTGTTTTAAGCAGATTAGGAGTTAACTTTTTGAAGGTATTACTGGGGCAGTGTTAGCGGTGGGAATGGAAACC